ATACCAGTGTATGCATACCAGTGTATGTATATCAGTGTATGTATACCAGTGTATATTTACCAGTGAATGTATATAAGTGTATGTATACCAGTGTGTGTATACCAGTGTATGTATACCAGTGTATATTTACCAGTGAATGTATATAAGTGTATGTATACAAGTGTATGTATACCAGTGTATGTATACCAGTGTGTGTATAGCAGTGTATGTATACCAGTGTATGTATACAAGTGTATGTATACCAGTGTATGTATACCAGTGTATGTATATCAGTGTATGTATACCAGTGTATATTTACCAGTGAATGTATACCAGTGTACGTATACCAGTGTGTGTATACCAGTGTATGTATACCAGTGTATGTATATAAGTGTATGTATACCAGTGTATGTATACCAGTGTATGTATACCAGTGTATGTATACCAGTGCATATATGCCAGTGTATGTATACCATTGTACGTATACCAGTGTGTGTATACCAGTGTATGTATACCAGTTTATGTATACCAGTGTATGTATACAAGTGTATGTATACCAGCGTATGTATACCAGTTTATGTATACCAGTGTATGTATACCAGTGTATGTATACCAGCGTATGTATACCAGCGTAAGTATACCAGTGTATGTATACCAGTGTATGTATACCAGTGTGTGTATACCAGTGTATGTATACCAGTGTGTGTATATCAGTGTATGTATACCAGTGTATGTATACCAGCGTATGTATACCAGCGTAAGTATACCAGTGTATGTATACCAGTGTATGTATACCAGTGTATGTATACCAGTGTATGTATACCAGTGTATGTATACCAGTGTATGTATACCAGTGTATGTATACCAGTGCATGTATACCAGTGTATGTATACCAGTGTATGTATACCAGTGTATGTATACCAGTGTATGTATACCAGTGTATGTATACCAGTGTATGTATACCAGTGTATGTATACCAGTGTATGTATACCAGTGTATGTATACCAGTGTATGTATACCAGTGTATGTATACCAGTGTATGTATACCAGTGCATGTATACCAGTGTATGTATACCAGTGTATGTATACCAGTGTATGTATACCAGTGTATGTATACCAGTGTATGTATACCAGTGTATGTATACCAGTGTATGTATACCAGTGTAATGTATATACCAGTGTATGCATACCAGTGTATGTATACCAGTGTATGTATACCAGTGTATGCATACCAGTGTATGCATACCAGTGTATGTATACCAGTGTATGTATACCAATGTATGTATACCAGTGTATGCATACCAGTGTATGTATACCAGTGTATGTATACCAGTGTATGCATACAAGTGTATGTATACCAGTGTATGTATACCAGTGTATGCATACCAGTGTATGTATACCAGTGTATGTATACCAGTGTATGCATACCAGTGTATGTATACCAGTGTATGTATACCAGTGTATGCATACCAGTGTATGTATACCAGTGTATGTATACCAGTGTATGTATACCAGTGTATGTATACCAGTGTATGTATACCAGTGTATGTATACCAGTGTATATATACCAGTGTATGTATACCAGTGTATGTATACAAGTGTATGTATACCAGTGTATGTATACCAGTGTATGTATACCAGTGTATGTATACAAGTGTATGTATACCAGTGTATATATTCTGAGAATTTATATTTATCTCTTTTGAAGGGAATAAAATATTCTTGTGATGCAACCTTAATGACTTGTACAATCGATAGACTTTAAACTTCAATATCCAATCTAACTACTACTGCTATTATTATTATTATTATTATTATTATTATTATTATTATTATTACTACTACTACTACTACCACTACTACTACTGCTATTATTATTATTATTATTATTATTATTACTACTACTACTACTACTACTGCTACTACTACTACTGCTATTATTATTATTATTATTATTACTACTACTGCTACTACTATTCTTACTACTACTACTACTACTACTACTACTTTTACTACTACTAATACTAATATTACAATGACTATTACTACTACTACTACTACTACTTTTACTACTACTAATACTAATATTACAATGACTATTACTACTGCTACTACTATACCGACCATTAGGTACAAATCTTTAATAGAGAACCTCTGGTATCACACTATACCTTTATATAAGTTGAAGAGTTTTGCCTATTCCCTCAACTCAGCCAGGCTTGTCTTTTGATAGTCTGGTCAACCAGGCTGTTCCCGCTAGTGAAATAACAATTCTACATCTTACGTCCAACTTACCCTTCCTTAGGAGTCATGTGTAATAGTAACTGCAGATCCCTCGATTCCCCTTCCTTCCTTCTCTCTCTGTCTGCTTAGAAGACGGAGTATTGAACCTCCACACACACTCCTTGGGTTGAATTATGAGGAAAGGGGGTCAAGTTATGTTACAAATCTTTACACTTTCCCATTTTCTCTGCACGGTAACATCGTCGGAAGGAATCTCAAAAAAAAAAAAAATAACATATCAGTATAAATAAAAAGATTTATTTTCTTAAACGAGATACAAAAGAGTTGCCTTACAACACCTGACGACTTCCCTCCCCACATACCAAACACCTGACTCCTACCACAGGTACCCTGCACCACCCTGCATTAACACTCGTAGACCTTCAAGGACTCCCTGGTATGTCAGCAACTCGCGGGTGTTTAGCGAACACCGGGTATATATCCGTTCTCGCGATAAACTGATCGAGGATCAAGCCTTCACCAGTTTAACTAAATGGCACAGGAGGATTAACATAATAATAATAATAATTAAAAAATAATAATAATAATAATAATAATAATAATAATAATAATAATAATAATAATAATAATAATAATAATAATAATAGCATCTCAGGTGTTTATAGTCAGAGTGTTAATGTAAGGTGTTTAGTAAAAACACCTGGTAGACACGGGACACACACACATACACACACATATAAATCATTGACTATGATATGTACACTGACTTACATATATATATATATATATATATACACACATACACATCTTCAGTAACAAAATCTAGCTAGTTATAATCATGTAGCTCTTGAACTCAGCGCTGGCCCACACGGGTTTACAGCGCATGTTCAGAATATAACGATACTTAAACGAACTGAATTCAAAATACACACAATTGGAATCAGGAAGTCTTGGGAATGTATTTAAGTACACAAACTAGGTATTAGATTTTCTAAGCTCACATAATTCATTCCAAAATTTAGAATTCACCTCTAGAGTATCATTCATTTTTTCACGATGGCCAAAAAAAAAAAATATTCTGTGAACTGATTCAAAATTTTGACCTTTTGAGTGTATATAATACCTGACGTAAATTTACATAGAAATGTTATTATTACACCATATAAACACCCTCACTTTTAATGGTTTTTATATTTTTTCTCTCGGATTCTGTTTGTCTTTATATTTCCTCGTAATTCCATTCTGTTTGTCTTTATATTTCCTCGTAATTCCATTCTGTTTGTCTTTATATTTCCTCTTAATTCCATTCTGTTTGTCTTTATATTTCCTCGTAATTCCATTCTGTTTGTCTTTATATTTCCTCGTAATTCCATTCTGTTTGTCTTTATATTTCCTCATAATTCCATTCTGTTTGTCTTTATATTTCCTCGTAATTCCATTCTGTTTGTCTTTATATTTCCTCGTAATTCCTGGTCTAGAACGTGTATATTTAAGTTAAGAAAAGTCACAGAACGGGTGAGGGGGACCAAGTGAGTCTTCAGACTCACAGACCAGTGTACCTGAAACATCGGTTCTGTGACTTGTCCGCAGTGGTGTTATTACTATTACCTGAGTCATATTATATGTATATGACCAATGACAGTACAGTTACGTCTCCGTGAAAGCAGAGAAACTCAACAAGAGGTTTTAACTGACAGTGTGAAGAGAAGATCTGACAACGTTACGAGTGAGCTTAGCAATGTTATGTTTCGCTCTGTGTAGAGCCTTATCAAGTAATGATTTGATAATGCTCTACACTAAATGAAAAGCTGTCACAGTAGAGACTATCTCTTCATCCTGTCTCTCTTTACCAAGAGACCTGTCTCTCTATACCAAGAGACATGTCTCTTTCTTTACCAAGAGACATGTCTCTCTCTATACCAAGAGACATGTCTCTTTCTTTACCAAGAGACATGTCTCTCTCTTTACCAAGAGACATGTCTCTCTCTTTACCAAGAGACATGTCTCTTTCTTTACCAAGAGACCTGTCTCTCCCTCTTTACCAAGAGACCTGTCTCTCCCTCTTTACCAAGAGACCTGTCTCTCCCTCTTTACCAAGAGACCTGTCTCTCCCTCTTTACCAAGAGACCTGTCTCTCCCTCTTTACCAAGAGACTTACTCTCCCTCTTACCAAAGACGTCTCTCCTTTCCATAAGACCTGTCATCCCTTTTACCAAACCTGTTCTTCCCTTTATCCAGAGACGTCTCTGCACTTTTACCAAGAGACTATTCTCCCTCTTTTTACCAAGAACTGTCTCGCACCTCATTACAATGAACTGTCTCTCCCTTTACCAAGATGACCATTTTCTCAGCTCTTTTACAAGAGACCTGTCTCCCTTTGACCAGAGACTCTGATCACCTCTTTACCAAGAGTACACTGGTCTTCCTCTTACAAGAACTTACAACTGAACTACTCAAAGTTTGTCATAAATTTCAATTTTTCACATGGTTGTTTCCCATATTAGAGAATCAAGTATGTGATTTTCAAGTAACATAATTTTCCTCATTATTCACATTATACATAAATCTCGAACTCATAATAGTGCTAAACTTGCAATGATAACCAATTTAGTCTCAAATATTATATGAGAGTTTGACCAGCCTGAAATCACACTTTGTCGATACAGCATGTTACAAAATCATCGTTAGTAGTCACGAAGAGCGTGAATATTTCTCTATTCATTCAGAGTTTTTTTGCATATTCTGAAATCACACCTTTTACTGGATCTTATTGCATATAAATCAATGAATATATATATATTCTAACTAGTATATATTATAATATATATATATATATATATATATATATTATAATAAGCTTCCACGCTGGATAATGTACATCAGCTGTCTAACTCATCGATTTATACTAGAGAGGTAAATATTAGTTGTATTACACTTCAGTTTATATAGCTTCCTACTTTCACACCAGTGCGCATTCTCAACATCAATGGACATTTATATTCTCGTCAACGTGGCTTATGTAGCAATATTTCCAGTCTGTAAATGTGAAGCATTGAAATGCTTTCCACTGCTGGAATTCTGTCTCCACCTAAGTACGTCTTATAGCTTTAAAATCTTTGGCATAATCTAGAACCCCCACTGGATATAAACTACTGACCAAGAGAGTAGGGGGTATGCTGGAGTTGAAAACACAGTGGCAGAAACACTCAGTGTGTAGAATAAACCTTAATTTACAGCCTCAATGACTGACGAGATCGAAATAATGACTTTAAACAGCCCACAGAGTGATGGCCTCGATTTCAGTGGCAAAGTTAAGAGATTAGTTTTTAAACCACTGTACCATGCTGATTAGGTATGCTTCCGTACACTAGGAAGGTTAGCATGGGCCACCACTGTTTTAGAAATTATTTTAAATATGGGTTCGAATCCTTCACATGAGCACTTTATTCACAAGCCACGTTTCGCTCAAAAACATAAATTTATGGAGACATAATTTGCCCTACACACATTCCCTTTCTCCCATACTTGAGGGCACGTTTTGCCTCTCACATTTAGGCCCTCCTTGACCATCATCAGATCAAGAACAGCTCGAAACACCTCTAGTTTTACCTCCAGTTTGGAGGTAAGTTGGGAATTGTTGCAGCCACGTTAGTGGTACCAAGTTAGTGGTACCAAGTTAGTGGTACCAAGTTAGTGGTACCAAACAGAGAACATGTTATATACAGTATCTTTTCATTGTCTTTCATCAAATAATTATACATCATTTGTTTTATCCACTCAGCAAGATTTACATTAATATATAATCCTATGATCGGCACTTCTTAAATTATACGAATGAAAATCCTTATTATCTAAAATTAAAGGCAATCATGTAATTAATTATATGTATAATTTTATCTTTTAGTGTGTTTTCATATATATATTAAATATATATATATATATATTATTATATATATATATATATATATATATATATATATAAAATATATATAAGTAGTTAGTTTTATCATATATTATATATATAATATATTATATATATATATATATATAATATATAATATATATATATATATATATATATAAATGCCACACAACACCGGGAAGATATGATAAACAGCCAAGTAAGAACATTTCAGCTCTGGTCTACAATGACCTAAACTTATCTTGAGAACTGGAATTAACTTAACTCGGAATATCTGTAAATAATAATACATAATTAATAATTTAAATAATAATAATAATAATATAATAATAATAATATATAATAATAATAATAATAATAATTAAATAATTCCCTTTATTGGATGGCATTGCAGAGACTGTTCCAAAGCAAAGATTATTGGTCATTATCCATGTTACTCGTGGTTTCTGCACCAGACAGATCACACTACGTAAAACTCAGACATGTCACCTTAACAATCACACTCTTACACGATAGTAACACACGTAAACGAAATTGCAGTGGATTCCTTGGTCGTGTCTAACAGGTAAGCAGGAGAAAAAGAATATGTGATTTATATATTATATAATAATATATATAAATTATATATATATAATAACTATAAATATATAATATTTATTATATAATATTATATATAGTAGGCGCAGGAAGCTTGACTTCCTATTCCATACGGATTTAGTTTTTTTGTGTATATAAAAATCAATACAAAATTACAACTTTTTTTTTAATGTTACGATAATCAATACAAAAATGAGTGTTTTTTTATTATATAATAAAAGCGTGACTTCATCTTCTCTTGTGAGTTTAATATTAAATAAAAAAAACTATAGAACGACGCTCTCTTAAACAAAATAACAACAGTAACAAAAGGAATGTCTGAGTTGTGTTAATCGGCTTTGATCATGGTTGGGGCGACAAGAAGAGAGGCACGACACACAACGATATAACCCCCAGTTCGAGTACCACTCGGAGCCCACACCAGCAGAGAACCATGTTTATGAGATCAACTTGTGACCATGTACATGACTTATACTACTTTAGTTATAAACTAACTCCCCGACCGCGTCACTTGTTAAAAGTATTGTTGTTGTTGTTGTTGTTGCTTGATTTGATTAGGTTAGGACAGGTAGAAAACTAGGAATCCTTGAGATACACCGCCATCTTAGTCTTAGTCGACCGCATCACAGCTGGTTGGCAAGATAACACTCAACCTGGTAGTCAAGATCACACCATATGTGGTTATCAAATCACATCAGACGAGGTCAAGACCACAACAGGGTCATCAATACCACACCAAACCTGGTCGCCAAGACCACGCCAAACGTGGCTGTAACAACCACATTGACGAGCTAATTATATATTAAATTCCCTCTCAGTATAAACTTCCCGGTTTAAGGTCTTTGATTAACGTAAGAGTTGCGATAAACGCCACTTCAGTAACCGCGTTTAGAAGGCAAGAATGCCAAGAAATCTTAAGATCATAGTAATATCACGTAATATTTCTATATTCTCGTTAGGCAATGCGTAAAATAATACATTGCTTAGCGAGTAACATTATTATAAATTACACCAGTTTCTCCAATGGGGTGTAAAACCTAGCTGGGAAAGACCACATGATTTTGACCTCTTACAAGACTTGTGGCAGGAAACACTTGTCCTGTTTCCTGAAGCCGAGTGAGTAGGCTCTTAGATTTTGAAAAACAAATGGATAAACGAAGTAATTCAAGCCCTATTATCGAAACGTAAACATGATTATACGAATAACTTAATGCGTGATCTTGTGCGCCGGTGATATATAATTTTATATGCCTGCTATACTAGCATAGGGATTTTCATTCCTGAAATTTTAGCCCCCCACCCAATAAATCAAACTCTTTTGTCCTTCATTATTCCTGGCGCTGTGTGGCTCATACTGGTTTAGCGCTTCCCCGTGAAAATGATAACTTGAGAGTAGTGAGGAGGCGCGGCAGCCCCGCTTCAAACATCAAACTTTTACACAGACGAATTGCACAACTTTTAACATCTTAAGCTCTAATTAACACGTATCTCCAAGCTGCGTTACCTCCCATTTCCCCCGGAGCTGTAAGATTCTTACGGGTTTAGCGCCTGTCCCGTGAATATAGATGAATGATCTACACTTTGTGTCATTGTTTCTATTCGGGTGAGAAAAAAATATTGAGAACCGAAAAATTCGATAATCTGGAAGTGACTTTTTCTGCAACACGGTCAGGGATGACGAAAATTTGTTAAGTAATGTTGACTCTTACACTTCTAACACATTAGGGTGACTGGTAAGAGGAACCTGAGAGGGAAAACAGTCTCTAAGCTGTTTCCCGTTGAAGGCGTGTTTGTCTCTCCCAACCATCACTGTTGCTACGTCCTCGTAGGTAAGGCAAGTGGGAAATGGGAATGGATAAGGCAAGTAGGAGGTGGGGATGGGTGATTCCAGTAGAAGTGGGAAAGGGACTGGCCAGTCGTTGGGGGATGGGTGAGGCCAGCAGGAATGTGTGAACGGGTGAGGCAAGTGGAAAGATGGGAATGGGTGAGACGAGGAGGAATTGGAATGGAAAGCTGAATAGTATTCAACTCTTCAAGCACCTTTGGTTTGTGATGTCGCAAGCATTAATTCTAATCACATGTACATGTAATGTGAAAGCATGCGGTGTACAGTACTCCCGTACAATAATGAACAATGAAGCAACGTTCAGTTTGGTTAGCGTTCAGCTCTATGTAGAGCTTTATCATGTTATAAATACTACTTAATGAAACTTTACACAGAGCGAAACGTTGTCAGGATAAAAAGTTCGTTCTGCAACCTTTTTTTCACTATTGTTGGCAGTAAGACATCTGGATTCATTCATAATTTGTTACATCATACAACACTTCCATCTGCAGTGCACAAATACACTCCTATCACTCGCCTTATTATATTATACATGATGTATATATTTGTGTGTGTGTGTGTGGGAGTGTGTGCGTGTGTATGTTCTGTTTATTGTCATGAAGGTATCACCAAGAGCATTAATATGATTCGAAGGCGAATCTTGACAATATTGTAATAATATTTGTTGAAGGTAGGCGACACGCTGAGGAGTTTACAGTACAGGAGTGCACCACAAATGAACGTTCACACATATAACGTGTTTAACTCTGCTATTTGGTCATTATTTTGGCTGTTTATACACCACACTACTAGCCTGCTGTCCCTCTGTCAGCTAGACTTTTGACAGTACTGTGCTAGTATCACATTACTGCTGACTGAGGTACTAGCACCAAGACTCATCTCCCTGTACGGCACCGTAGGTAGCCATCGGGTTAAGAGCTTCGTGATACTCTGGCTTCGTAGGTGGTTTTGGAGCCTCCTTGCTACCCATGGCTTCGGGCTGAGCAGAAGAAGAAGTTGGCACATCTGACAGGCGCTGGGCAGGGTCACCTGAGGGAGACTGTGTAGGGGTACTGGTTGGAGATTTACGTTTGCTCAGCTGACGAAGGGATTCCCGTTTACTCTGCTTGGGAATGTTAGGGAACTCGTAGTCACTGTCCTCCTCTTCGTCTGCTTCTTGCCCGTAAATCTGATTGAGCTTTTCGAAGCGGTGACCCCAGTCGTTCTTGTAGTCGAATGGTTCACTGCTATCCGAGGAACCGCCTGTGTAAGATACGAATGGAAATAACTCAGTGTGAACGATCTCTGACGAATCTAGGTGTGAAGCCAATGTGACAGTCAAGACATTACATATCTAAACTACTGAGTTTCCTTCGCTCACGTATTGAAGTTTTAGACTAAAACGCAAATAATAACAAGTCAACCTACCTGAGCCTATGGAAGACAGAGATGCGATAGACATTTCGTCTCCTTCGTAACAGTAGTGACGCACGTCATCAAAGTCTGAAGGATCCTTGTCAACCTGCAGAGGTCAGAAACACCAGAGATTAGTGAGATAGAGATGAGGATACTGGTGAAGTTTGCGTGTTAGAGACTAGTCAACGATGTAGGTTCGAACCAACGAATTTCGACAAGAGAGACGAAAGCGACCCGGCCCTATGGTCGGGTACATTCGCAGTCAGTAGAAGGAGGATCGAGCCTCCATCCACCACGTCTTGCGCTGAATGGCCCACATGGGTTTAGCGTATAACATGAATTAAATAAGCAACAGAGACCAGTGCATATACATTGCATAAATTACCCTTTCATATTTCATACATAAGTATAATGGGTACTGATTCATACACGTATTTCTTCCCCTCATACACGTATGCATTGCACGCATGTATAGCGCATACTTACGTTGAATGTAATTAGATCACGTATGGTTATGTGTCTTGCTATGTGTTGTGAACCCTCATGTGTTGGACACTCGCTGCATACTTGTATGCAACACCCACATATATTGCATACTTAAGTGCAACACCCACATATATTGCATACTTAAGTGCAACACCCACATATATTGATATTAGTGCAACACCCACATATATTGTACATACTTAAGTGCAACACCCACATATATTGCATACTTAAGTGCAACACCCACATATATTGCATACTTAAGTGCAACACCCACATATATTGTATACTTAAGTGCAACACCCACATGTGTTGCATACTTGAGTGCAACACCCACATGTGTTGCATACTTGAGTGCAACACCCACATGTATTGCATACTTGAGTGCAACACCCACATGTGTTGCATGAGTGCAACACCCACATGTATTGCATACTTGAGTGCAACACCCACATGCGTTGCATACTTGAGTGCAACACCCACATGTGTTGCATACTTGAGTGCAACACCCACATGTGTTGCATACTTGAGTGCAACACCCACATATGTTGCATACTTGAGTGCAACACCCACATATGTTGCATACTTGAGTGCAACACCCACATGTGTTGCATGAGTGCAACATCCACAAGGAATCCCTTACCTTCTTAATATTGTCATTAATGAAGTCACCAATACTGAGACCATCTGGCATCTGTGCCAGGGGCGCTGGCTCTCTCTGGTGGGTATCGTCTGCCACGTCAGGACGAGGTCGTTTCTCCTCTCCTGCAGGAGAAGACACAGGCAACAAGGTAGTGATCAACTTATTTTGCTTCTCACATAATAGGTAGTGAACTTTATCTCTCTCTCTCTCTCTGTATGTATATATGTCGTGCCGAATATGTAAAACTGGTCAATTAGCAAGAACTCATTTAAAATTAAGTCCTTTCTAAAATTTTCTCTTATACGTTTAAAGATATATTTTTTTCATTAATGTTGATGTAAAAATTTTTAATTTTTCACCAAAAGGAACTTAGAAAACTTACCTAACCTTATTATAACAAGCGCAATTTATTTTAGCCTAACCCATATATATATATATATATATATATATATATATATATATATATATATATATATATATATATACAGAGAGAGAGAGAGGAGGAGAGAGAGAGAGAGAGAGAGAGAGAGTTTTTAGTCCTAGCAAGAAATTGGATAGGAGATCTATACATTAAAACTACAAACAATATCATACGAACTTCTGAAAACAAAGTTTCCGTAGAGAGGGAGTGAAAATAAATAGAATAACACAATTCCCAACTTTAATAAACAAGTATTGTTTGGTCAAACTTCCCGTGCAACAACATATTGCAATAAAACCTGGACTAACACCAGTAGCAAGAGAGCAATCACAGAAATATTCATTTATTTAGGAAGGTCGGGGGGGGAGAGGGGGAGGATGCGAGGGGAGGTCCACTAGGGAAACGGATGGTAAATGAAACTAGAGAGGGTGAGGGAGACCAGATGGATGGTAAATGAAACTGGAGAGGGTGAGTGAGGCAAGATGGATGGTAAATGAAACTAGAGAGGGTGAGTGAGACCAGATGGATGGTAAATGAAACTGGAGAGGGAGAGTGAGACCAGATGGATGGTAATGAAACTGGAGAGGGAGATGTGAGGCAAGATGGATGGTAAATGAAACTGGAGAGGGGGAGTGAGGCAAGATGGATGGTAAATGAAACTGGAGAGGGAGAGTGAGGCCAGATGGATGGTAAATGAAACTGGAGAGGGAGAGTGAGGCCAGATGAATGATAAATGAAACTGGAGAGGGAGTGAGGGCCAGATGGATGGTAAATGAAATGAGAGGGAGAGTGAGACCAATGAATGATTAAATGAAACTGGAGAGGGAGAGTGAGACCAGATGAATGATAAATGAAACTGGAGAGGGAGAGTGAGACCAGATGGATGGTAAATGAAACTGAAGAGGGTGAGTGAGACCAGATGGATGGTAAATGAAACTGGAGAGGGAGAGTGAGGCAAGATGGATGATAAATGAAACTGGAGAGGGAGAGTGAGGCAAGATGGATGATAAATGAAACTGGAGAGGGAGAGTGAGACCAGATGAATGATAAATGAAACTGGAGAGGGAGAGTGAGACCAGATGAATGATAAATGAAACTGGAGAGGGAGAGTGAGGCCAGATGAATGATAAATGAAACTGGAGAGGGAGAGTGAGACCAGATGAATGATAAATGAAACTGGAGAGGGAGAGTGAGGCCAGATGGATGATAAATGAAAACTGGAGAGGGGAGAGTGAGACCAGATGAATGATAAATGAAACTGGAGAGGGAGAGTGAGGCCAGATGGATGATAAATGAAACTGGAGAGGGAGAGTGAGGCAAGATGAATGATAAATGAAACTGGAGAGGGAGAGTGAGGCCAGACAGCACAGCCTTGAAGAGCTCTATTTACACAATTGTAAAACACCTCGACGTGGAGGATAAACAACTCTGACTTGCAACAAGAAGATTTTCTTTTTACACAAATCGTAAATAACGTTGTCGATGTGACTGTAAGTGGGAGGAAATACCCTGAAAATTATTTTTATATGTTGGGAAATATATTTACTAGTGAAAAATGCATTGAAAGATTTACAGACTGTTGAAAATAACGAAAATAATTTAAACACACACACACACACACACACACACACACACACACACACACACACACACACATACACACACACACACACACACACACACACCCGATATACATATATATATATATATATTATATATATATATTATATATATATATATATATATATATATATATATATATAATATATATATATATGTCGTGCCGAATAGGCAGAACTTGCGATCTTGGCTTAAATAGCAACGCTCATCTTGCCATATAGGACAAGTGAAAATTTGTGTATGCAATAATTTCGCCAAAATCATTCTGAACCTAACGAAAAAAATATATTTCACTATGTTTGTTTAGTATTAAATTATTGTAAACAAATCTAAAATATATTTAGTTGGGTTAGGCTAAAATAAATTGTTCTTGTTATAATAAGGTTAGGTAAGTTTTCTAAGATTCTTTTGGTGCAAAATTAAAAATTTTTACATTAACATTAATGAAAAAAATATATCTTTAAACATATAAGAGAAAATTTCAGAAAGGACTTAATTTTAAATGAGTTCTTGCTAATTGACCAGTTTTACATATTCGGCACGAAAATATAATATATATATATATATATATATATATATATTATATATATATATATATATATATATATATATATATTATATATATATATATATATTATCACACTGGACGATTCCCACCAAGGCAGGGTGGCCCGAAAAGAAAAACTTTCACCATCGTTCACTCCATCACTGTCTTGCCAGAAGGGTGCTTTACACTACAGTTTTTAAACTGCAACATTAACACCCCTCCTTCAGAGTGCAGGCACTGTACTTCCCATCTCCAGGACTCAAGCCCGGCCTCCCGGGTTTTCCCCTGAAACCCTTCATAAATGTTACTTTGCTCACACTCCAACAGCACGTCAAGTATTAAAAACCATTTGTCTCCATTCACTCCTATCAAACACGCTCACGCATGCTGCTGGAAGTCCAAGCCCCTCGCACACAAAACCTCCTTTACCCCCTCCCTCCAACCTTTCCTAGGCCGACCCCTACCCGCCTTCCTTCCACTACAGACTGATACACTCTTGAGTCACTCTGTTTCGCTCCATTCTCTCTACATGTCCGAACCTTCATCAGCCCTCTGGACAACAGTTTTGGTAATCCCGCACCTCCTTCTAACTTCCAAACTACGAATTCTCTGCATCATTTTACACCACACATTGCCTCAGACATGACATCTCCACTGCCTCCAGCCTTCTCCTCGCTGCAACATTCATCACCCATGCTTCACACCTATATAAGAGCGTTGGTAAAACTATATATATATATATATTATATATATATATATATATATATATATATATATATATATATATATATATATATATATATATATATATATACATATATATATATATATATATATATATATATATATATATATATATATATATTATATATATATATATATATATTGAAGAAATATAAAGGGCATGGTATATCCAGCAGTTTATATATATGATATATTCACAAACGGATATTTATTAAAATAGAAGATATACGTACGTGAAATATACGTAAGAGTTAATTAAGAAGCTAAGCAGTGTGGAGAGGAAGATAAGGAGAGAAGATGACTTGTATTGTTCTTATGTCTGGCGTCTAGACCATGATCATGGCCCCTGTCAGGCCATGATTGTGGCCCTTGTCAGGTCATGATCATGGCCCCTGTCAGGTCATGATCGTGGCCTCTGTCAGGTCATGATCATGGCCCCTGTCAGACCATGATCATGGCCCCTGTCACGCCATGATCGTGTCCCCTGTCAGGCCATGATTATAACCCCTTTCAGACCATGATCATGACCCCTATCAGACCAATATTAATACTTGATTCCCTCACCTAACTCCAGGAAACAGAGTTTCTTCTCGCCAGCATTTAGTTAAGATGACAAAGAAATATTAATGAAATATCCACAACTTTACATACGACTTTAGTACTGTAAAAAACCTGTAGACTTTAAAGGTCTGTTGAACGCTCTTAGAATTACGGTAAAAATTTAATTAGCACTAGGAAAAGAGTTAGATAATTACCCTAATTAAATGTAAATAGTACCTGTCTGGGTAGTCTTTGAATAGTACATATACTATACTAAGAATGGTATTATCTATAAATTCTAAAGATACATAAAGTATAAGAAGGTAAGAAGGTGTGAAGATGAACACACACCAAGACTGAGGGACTGACTACCTCAAACTTATTTTCCAGACTGATGGACTGATTACCTCAAACTTCTTTTCCAGACTGAGGGACTGACCACTTCAAACTTCTTTTCCAGACTGAAGGACTGACTACTTCAAACCTATTTTCCAGACTGAGGGACTGACTACCTCAAACTTCTTTTCCAGACTGAGGGACTGACCACTTCAAACTTCTTTTCCAGACTGAAGGACTGACTACTTCAAACTTATTTTCCAGACTGATGGACTGACCACCTCAAACTTATTTTCCAGACTAAGGGACTGACTACCTCAAACTTATTTTCCTGACTGAGGGACTGACTACCTCAAACTTCTTTTCCAGACTGAGGGACTGACTACCTCAAACTTCTTTTCCAGACTGAGGGACTGACTACCTTAAAATTATTTTCCAGACTGAGGGACTGACTATCTTAAACTTCTTTTCCAGACTGAGGGACTGACCACTTCAAACTTCTTTTCCAGACTGAGGGACTGACCACTTCAAACTTCTTTTCCAGACTGAGGGACTGACCACTTCAAACTTCTTTTCCAGACTGAAGGACTGACTACTTCAAACTTATTTTCCAGACTGATGGACTGACCACCTCAAACTTATTTTCCAGACGGAAGGACTGACTACTTCAAACTTATTTTCCAGACTGATGGACTGACCACCTCTTATCTACATCTCCACGACTTAAAGTGTCTCCTTTACATTTCGACTGAAGAAACCGTCTGAGCAGACTTACTCAGTGACACATACCCACACTTGGCAGGTCCTTCTCAAAACCCTCTCGTTTTAAACCAGGAACCTGCCCCATTTTTACATTTGCAACATAAGTGTTGCAACTAAACAACACTTGCAACAGTTGAAACTAAAAACACATC